ATTGTTTGTGTATATGCTTGGGCAACTTTTTTATGCAAATCTTAGCATGCCTGGTCAGCTTGAAAAAGCTGTGCACCTTGGCTTTTGTGATCAGCACGAGCATTTGTGGACACGTTTGATAAATTGCCCAATCGTGTGGCGGCAACGATTGCTTGAAATCGCTTGCGAGATGACCGATGCCTAAAAAATTCGGCTTGATACCAAAAGAATTTGAATTAAACAGATAGTAAAGATCTAAGTCGAGTAGCAAATCGGTTTCAGGTGCTATACTATGCATTGTCGATCTGCACACTGGGCATATTTCGACTACTTCTACACTGGAAGCCGGACTGGTACATCAAGGTGAGAGCGACGCGATGCGCTCACGACGTCGCACAGTACATTAATGTGATGTGAGAAACAGACATAAAGCATTTTTACAGTATCCGGAACTGTAGTAATTTTCAGTGACGAGCACAATGTCGAAGCATTTCGACCTGTACGCGTGCACACGAAGGAAAACGGGGCATCACCTACTCTTCCAAAGGTTAAGAGGTTTTGCTTCAAATATTTTATGACTAGGAAATTTGCCAGTTTGTGCGACAATATGCTGCAGCCATGGTGGGAGTATCCTTCTTCCAACCTAGTGCTACTTCTGAGCTAACCATTACGACTCGGGCGTACCTCAGGCGAATTCAGCACCAAATTGGCAATATTCCAAACGTTCATAACTCGTCATAAGAGTATTATAAATAAACGGAAGGTGGGGCCTTTTTTTGACAGCGATTGTACATAATTGAATTTCTAGTCTGCGGGGTTGGATTTGAAGAGATCTGGCAGAATGCCAGTTACCGTGGCGACTGCAATTGCGTGAGGTATGCCCGAGGCGTCCTTTGGTATGCTGGGATATGCAGTATGGCTTCGTGTTCGGAGTCAAATCATTCAAACACGAATAATACTTGAGCAGTCGCTTCTATAGTTCACAAAATGACTCTAGTCCACTGTTTGCTTGATCAGTCAGAAAAGGACGCCATGTAGGCGCTAGCACGGCGCTGGCACGCGAGCAACGCAAGGCGACTTTAGCGCAAACCCAAATGTGTCGCGGGTGACTTTGATCGTGCCATAAGACTAGGGCATTGATCATGCGAAAGCACCTACATTTTATAAGTCTGATCTGATTCCATTGTTTTTTAGGGTGATGGAACTATGAAGAAAGTTGACTACATCCGTTACTTCACTTTTCGAAAGCTGAAGTATATCTGGAAAACTGAGGTGGACGAATGGGTTTCATCTGCAGATCTCGACAGCCATGTAAGTGTGCTCTCTCGCATGTCTCTTATTGTCATATCGTATTCCAGATCCCAATCAAGCATTTTCAATCAGTGCTTGAATCCGGGACTGGACTGACAGAAGAGGAAGTTCAATGCAGACGGGTCACTTATGGATCGAATTTGATAGACGTTAAGCTGAAACCGATTCTAGTACTTATTTTCATAGAAGCTATTTCTCCTTTTTATATTTTTCAAGTGTTTAGGTACGCTTATAACCTATTATTCGTATCCCCTATGAGATCACTTTCTTTGCATTTTCAGCGTTTCAATTTGGTTCTCAGATGAATACGAGTACTATGCGTCTATTATTGTTCTTATGTCTGTCATGTCCATTGCTATTGATGTCTACCAGACAAGGTTGGTATTTTATTATTGGTTTTCATTCTTCTTTTCAAAGTCTGTTTACAGAAGTCAAGAAAGGAAATTACGTTCTATGGTGCAATCCTCAAACGAGGTAGATGTTTTAAGAGCCGATGGAGTGAAAACCATCAACAGTGAAGAGGTGGGCGAAGATTTTTTTTAATGATTTTCACATTGTATCTTATCAATTTTTCATCATACTTTATTTTACATTTTTTCATTACTTTCTTGTTTGTTCTGGTTGTCGCCTGCTCTTGAAAAACAAATTCTCATAAGTTGTGCGTATAGTTGGGTCTTCGCAAGTTCCATTCGAAAAAATTCTTCCTATCTCGAAATATTCCTGCTTAGGCTGCGTTCAGAGTAGAATGTACCGGCGGCGGACTAGCACCATCTCGATCGCTCAATAAGGGGTGCGTGTACGCGGGCTTTAGCACGGCGCAGGCACGGCGCTAGCACGGCGTTGACTCTGACTTCAAACGCTCTTAGCTTTCATATACAG